CCTGTACCTAGGATTTGTTGTCAGTTTTGACAAACTTTTAGTCTGAATGGAGACATTTAATCCATTTAACTTTAATGTAATTAATATGTTGCAGGCTTTTTTTTAGATTAAAAAAACATTGTGTGTGTGTGTGTGTGTGTGTGTGTGTGTGTGTGTGTGTGTGTGTGTGTGTGTGAAGGGGTATGTGTATATGGGTACCAGTGCCCACAGAATTCAGAAAAGAGTGTCAGAGCCGCTGGAGCTGTAGTTGCAGGTTGCTGTAAGCCACAAACATGGGTGCTGGGAACTGAACCTGGGTCCTCTGCAAAAGGAGTATGCACTCTTAACCACTGAGCAATCTTTCCAGCCCCACAATGTTAGGTTTTGATCAGTGTCTTATATTTATTTCTAGAGCGTGTTATTATTTCCTATTCTCTTGTCCATTGCTGCAGACTCTGGATTATTTCATTTCCTGCTTTTCTAGCTACCTGGTTATAGATAATTTGGTTAATTTTTAAATAGAAAAATCTAAAAATTATAGCATGCATTTTAACGTCTTTTATCTAAAATGATATGAAATCAATGAAATTTTCGCAATAAAGGCAAAAGAGGATCCTTAAACTTTAATTCCATGTACTTTCTTCTTGTCTTACTATATTTTCTAATATTTTAATTTTATACACATACAAAGCTGCAAGACATGAATGTGATATTTTAATTTTTTTATTCTTTCTAGCATCATTAGTTTATTTCTGTGTTTTTTAGTCTCTCTCCAAGGGTTATTTTCTTCGTGTCTTCTTAATTTTTTCCAGGATTTCTTTCAGCACTGGTATATATTATCTCAGTTTTTGTTTGTCTGAAATATCTGTAACTGTTTATTTTCTTTTCAAAAGATACTTTTGTCAAATACAGAATTCTAAGTTAAGAACTGTTTCTGTAATCTTTAAAAAAGATACCAGACTACTGTCTTATACCACATAACTTTTGTTGAAAAGACAGCATGGTTGTCCCATACTTTTAAGATAACAAATCACGTTTGCACTATCATCTTTGAGACTTTCCTTCTCATCTTTAGTTTTCATAATTTTTGCTGCCATGAGTTTAGACACAGCTTTCTTTGAATTGATCTTGTCTGGAGTTTGTAAACATCTTTAATCTGTGAATTGATAAGTTTTGTCAGTTTGAAAGATTCTCTGCTGTTACCTTTTTGAATATTGCTTCTGTTTCAATTCTTCCCTATTCTTCTAGAACTCTAATTCATTAGAAAATTTTTAATTAAGTCTTGAATATTTATGAAGCTATTTTCTTTCCTTTTTAAATCATTTTTTCCTGAGTTTCAATTTTTATTTTCTCTAATTTCTGAGGTCTTTAATTATTTATAATAGCCATCTACTAATTTTTTAGTTTGAATTACTGGTATTAATTTTTAGCTCTAAAATTTCTACTTGATTTATTATTATAGATTCCAGTCCTCTAAACAAGCTCCCCATTATGTATTTTTATGTATTGCTCATTTTTGCATATTAGCCAATATCTAAACATTATAATCTATGGGTCTGATTGCATTGGTTTTGTTGGACTGGTTTTGTTTTCCATTATTTGACCCCATCTCTTGAAAATAGCAAGTGACTTTATATTGACTCCTGGAGATTGTATATAAAATATTGTAGGGAGTTTCTGATGGTATTTTCTTCCTCAAGAATATATTTTTCTTTGGTTGGGCAATTAGACTATAAATAGGTAAATTCCCTGCACATGTACGAGTGTTTTAGCTTTGATTTTAAGTCTTCTGCAAGCCAGACCACTATGCCTACCCTTGTGCATGGGGCATCTCAGAGCTTCTTTTTCTTGACAGGGTCTCAACTTCATTTGCACTCTCCCTTGTGTGACTTCTCAAATCACTATTTTACTTTTTAATCTCCTAGAAGTCATTTTGGACTTGGTTTCTTGGCTCTTGGCTCTGAGAATGCATACTTTAATAATTAGCAAGTATTCTAAGTGGAAAATTGTGAGTAGAAAGTCAGGCTCACTTTTGTGTTTTCTATGTCTCTGGCCCTTGGGCCTGGACTTTAATTTCTGTCTCCCTGGTGATTCTGAAACAAGTACTAGGTTGCTGTTTCTTCTCTGACTCGTTTTCTTTCACCAAGACTTTGGCAATTCTCTTGAAAGAAGAAAAAAAAATCTGAGTTACATAATAAGCTCACTTCATTGCATTCTTTTCCTCTCTGGGATTCAACTCCTGAGTCCTTATTGCCTTGGTCACTTTCTGATGTCCCAAAGTAGCAAATTCATTATTAAATGAATCTTGTTCATGCTTTGCTTCTAATAAAGTTAGACAACATTCAATGATCCACTCTAGCCAAACAGCTCTTAACAAGTGACCGATATTTATTACTATGAAGGCCAGAAAAATCATGTTTTAAGATTTGAGATTGAGTCCCAACAGCTGCTGAGTGAACTTTGCTATTATAACTCCTGACACATTCACCAAAAAGGTAAGCCTTGCTCATTGGAAAGGTGTTTTCACACAGTGTTTCTTTTTCCATTACTGTTTTTTTTTCAATGTATTTTTTATTAAATTTTTGCACATTTATTACAATTCCTCTTAATCATATCTAGACCCCCTTCTAGATATGATCTGCATCCCCAATAGCCTGACCACAGGATTTGGTGCATTCTGTCATATATGTTAAGGCCTACTGAGTCAAGTCTGTGTACTTAGATGTCCCTTGGTATGCTACTGTTATTTTGATGAGGACAGTTGATTCACCTAAACTCATTACTGAATATGACTCTCAGGTCCACCAATTGTCACCAAGAAGGCTAAAACGATTCACATTCACTTTCATGAGGAACACAGGGGTTCTTCAGTTTACCTAGGTATCCTGGAAATGCATAACTTAAACCTGTCTGAATTTCCCAGGATCTCCTTGAGAACCTGAAGTAAAAAGAGGTTCACAAGTTTTCTAATACGATATTACTATAAAGGTTTCACACTTTGGCTACCTTCTTGACTTTTTTTCCCTTTAGGTCTCTCTAAGACTTAAAATGACTCTAATGAATTGGATCTTGTGCTAATAATTTATCTTTATGTAGAGTTTGTGTTGTTGTTTGGGGAATTTTTTTGTTTTGGTCTTGTTTGAATCAGGGCTGCATTCTGTAGCCTAGACTGACCTTGAACTAGTGATCTTCCTTCCTCAACCTCCCATGGTTGGCATTAAAGACACGTGCCACAACACTGAAGCCTTTTTAAATTAAGATAGTCCTTTATTGGTTACAAACATGTCTGTAATGTATTCTGATGACTTTCTCCCCCACACCCTCTCTTATATCCCTCACACCCGTATTAAAGCTCCTTCCTGCCTACCTATCCCTTTCCCAGATGCATGACTTTTGATTTTATTTTATGACCTGTTTAACTTAACCAGGACTATCACCATAACCATCAGATTGGGACTACCCATTGGAGCCTGGTGTGGCAAGCAGCAATCCATTTTCCCAACCCTGCTCAGCTATTTTTAATAGTTTAATAGTAAACACATCTTTTGTTATAAAATTTTACATTTTTTAGGACAAAAGAGTTTGATGGGGGCCAGTGAGATGGCTCAATGGGTAAAGGTGTTTACCGCCAAGCCTAAAAACCTGAGTTTGATCCTAGGGAGCCACATTGGAGAAAGAGAGAATTAATTCCCCCACCCTAACAAGGTGGAAGGGAAGGACTGATACCTGAGAGGTTAGAGGCTGTCCTCTAACCTGCCCCCCCCACAGGCACACACACACACACACACACACACGAATAAATAAATAAACTTTTTTAAAAAAAGGTTGGGGGCAGGCTGGAGATGTCTCAGTGCTTAAGAGCACTGGCTGTTCTTGCAGAGGACCTGGGCTCAGTTCCCAGCACCCACATGGCAGCTTACAACTGGCTGTAATTCCAGTTCCAGGTAATCCCATGTCCTCTTCTGACATTAATGAGCACCAGGCATGCATGTAGTACACTTATATACATGCAAGCAAAATACTCATGCACATAAAGTTAAGTAAATCTTTTAAAAAAGAATTCTTTAAAGAAATTTAAAAAATAAACAAGCATTTAAAAAAGAGGTTGGAGGTGCCGAGTGCTCACCTCTCTTTAGTAGTCTCTAGAAGAAGAAGACAGAGCATGGAAGAAAGAAGAGACAGAGCAGAATGGACCAAAGGCAGGTACTCAAGAAGGAACATGGATCAGCAGCCAGTTGGCTGAAGGTAATGACCCCTTTTCCCTGAATCTAGCCACAGGAAAGAGCTCAGCAATGAGGAGTAGAGTCCACTGAGTCCTTCTTCTGAACTTTTCTGGCATTTGTTGAGCCCATGCTTATGCAGGCCCAGTGCAGTCACCAGTAATTGTTAAGAAGTTGTCATTGTGGGCCTGAGAGAAGGCTCAGCAGTTTCGAGGACTGACTGCTTTTGTAGAGGACCTGGGTTCAGTACCCAGTACCACATGGTGGCTAGCAACCATAACTTCAGTTCCAGAGGCTCCGACTTTCTCTTCTGGACTCCACAGTCATTGTACAACACAGGTGCCCTCACATACATGCAGGCAAAACACTGATACACATAAAATTACAATGAAAGAATATGTTGTTGCAATGTGAGACCTTTTTTACTTTGTATTTTGTGACAGTCTCACTGAATATTTCAGGCTGACCTTGAATTCATTCCAAAGCTCAGGTAGCCTTGAACTTTTGACCTTCTTACCCCAGCCTTCCTAGTAACTGGGATTAAAGGCCCATGCCATCAAGGACTGATCTGCACGTAGATTATAGAATCAGTCTAGAATATCCTGAGTGTTTGATACACTACCTCTTATTTTTTACTTTGAACATTTTGATGGACTCTCTCAACAGTCATTCTCAATTCGCAGCTAATTTATTGCTGCATTAATTTATTCATTATCTTACTTCTTTCCCCAAACTCAATTTCACAAACTCCTTTCAGACCACCTTGTTCTTTCTACCATATCCGGTCTTCATTTTACTTACCCAGATGACTGACAGCTTCCTTGTCCCAAGGCCAGGTGGCAGCACCTGCCAGGTCTTCCCTCACCGAGCTGGCAAAGTAGACATTGAGGAAGTGTGTACTATTGAGCTGCAAGGCCTCCTTCAGCTCCTTTACACTCATGTATGCCCTGGAGAACATGCAAAAGCAGAGAATGTCATACCAACAGCACTTAACAGCACAGCCTGATCACTGTCATGATATTTATAGCCACTAAAGCTTTTTGGAGGGGTAGAGAGACAGAGACCTGTCTGTCACAAACACCAGAAAAAGACACCAGTATGCATTTGAAACATCTATCCTATTAAGCAAAATCCTGCTGTTTTGAAATAGCACAATGTCTGTATGAATGCTCCACACTTGATATTATTCTCAATTCTTCATGTAGACCCAGATATTCCTTCAAGATAAATCCTGTGGTACCACTGGTTCTCTGCCTTGAGAATTATCTCATACAAGGTGAAGCAAGCCTTCAGCCTCCTAGTTTCTTACTGCTATCATCATCCTACATGATCCATATGATATCAGGAAGTCTGTTAAACCTCAATTTCAGAATATTTCTACAGCAACCATTATTTTTATTTTATATGTATGAGTGTTTTGCCTGCATGCACGTAAGTGCACCACATGCATGCAGTGCCCACAGAGGCCAGAAGAGGGTGTAAATTCCCCCAGAAATGGAGTTACTGGTTGTTAAAGGCCATATGGGTGCTGGGAACTGAACCTATGTCCTCTGCAACAGCAGCCAGTGCCTGTAACCTCTGAGCCATCTTTCCAGCCCCAATAGTCATAATTTTTTAAAGGAAATGGTGAGACAGTAGTTAGGAACTAAATTGTAAAAGGTACAAACAAAAATAGTTTAAAATAGAAGACGACATTATAATGCTCCTATAAATGATACTTTCTGTGTTTTAATTTAGTTTTTATGTCCCCTAGCCCACAGAAACTCTCTTTCTCTTATTACCTTACCATACATACCAAATGTCTTACTGGTAGCCTTCAAAGCACTAGACAATATTATACATGCACTCACACACATAATTGAAGGTCTATTACAAACATATGCTCCATGTCCATAAAAAGGGAAACATACTTGGTTTTGCTATAAGCTTCTATTAGTCATAAGTCTTCAGCTTCTTGGCATCAGTAAATCTTAAAACTTTGTCATGAACATATAGAGTTTCATTGTCTTCTCTGAGGAGGTGTTTAAGAAGGGACAACTAAACCAGAATTCAGTGGTCTCTCATACTTGCCAAATCCTTCCCACACCGGCCTTGTTATATCATTCCAAACACAGGAATGTTCCCACTCAACTAAAGCCAGACAGATAGCATGCTCAACACAGGTTGGGAGTTCCCTTTAAGAATATGCTTCATACTTGCTCTTCTTCAAGACAAGCCACAGGCATTGGAACCTCCCAGTCCATGCTAGAACAGCATGACTCTTCTCTTCCTCGCACTGCTTCCCAACCATGTCACTCACACCATCTTTTTAAGTCATGTGTAGAATATGCTGGTGGGGAACACCGAAAAAGTGAAAATCTCAAAGGGTATTGTCTTCATAGTTCTTGGAACAGAACCAAAAGTGGGGAGAAAGGCAAAGAAACAAAAAGATTTTTATTTAGGACCAAAGGCGCTTGGGGGAAAGGGACTTTAAGTAGTACTTTTATTCACTTGTAGTATCTTGGAAAAATAGTTCTCAGTCAAAAGGAGTTAGCCAAGCTCCATGAGGTAGTATTGGATATGATTAGAGACTATTCCTTCTGCTGCTTTTCTAGAAATGCAGTTTTGAGATCTTGCTTGGTTTTCTCTTGATTTAATTGCAATCCCTTTATTTTTCTTCTTTAACAAAATATATTTTTACTGATGGCTGGTAGTGAGGATGGCATCAAGTAAATCTTCAGTGTGGAAATGTTAGAATAGATGGTGATGTAGGAGACGAGAGGAGAGGAGACTCAAAGAGGGGAGGGGCAGGATGGGATTAAGGACAGCCTACATTTAACACAGAGTACCTAGAATGAAAGTTTGAACCTTTGCTCTGTTCCTATTTCAGGTTTTCAATTAAAACTGGGACATGGGAGGCAGAGGCAGGCAGATCTCTGTGAATTCAAGGCCAGCCTGGTCTACAAAGTGAGTTCTAGGACAGCTGGGGCTACAGGGAGACCCTGTCTCAAAAAAAGAGAAAAAAAAAAAAAACCCTGGGACATGGTACATTAACAATTTGCTCCGTTTTGCTTCACTCCCTTTCCCTAAACCCCAACTCCTGACAGGAATTATTCAGTCTGTGTGTTCCTGGTTTCTCTGTCTGCCATTTGCCAGGTTGGGTGACAACTTATCTGTCCTCCATCAACCCAGCAGTTCTGATATTTTCTCCTGAGTGCCCTCCAGAATGCCTCCTCCTCCACCATCAGCCTTATGAGCTGGTTCTACTCATCTCCTTTTCTTCCTTGCCCGATTGTTTCCCCAGTCATAAATTGCTCTTCTAGATGAGAGTTTTGATGTCATATTATTGTCAAACCAGGTGTGGTTGCTCAGATTCCTGCACTCCACAGAAATATAGATTGAAGTTGAGGAGTCTAAGGGAGAATGCATTTTAAAATGCTAGAGACAGCTGAAAATAGCCACTAGTTGAACTGATAGGGGAAACACTTATTTTACTGGAAATTAAGACTGTTGTTCAGATTATTGTCTAAATCAATGAAGGTGAGGGTATAGAGGTCAGTGAGCCTACTTTGCCTGCTAGGGGTTCTGTCTACTCCAACACTTGCACAAAATTTCAGAAGCCACTCTGAAATGAGGAGAAATCTGAGCTTCTTGGATTAACATGACTGAGCCGCCTGGCTCATATTTACAGTAGGGAAAAATGGATGTAGCTCCTAAATTCAAAGTGAACATTATGCTTCAGAAATGATTTATTAAGGTATAAATTTGTTTACTATTCAAGGTAAGGTAAAATGATATACCAGAAATGCAATTAAAATGCCTAAGGATCACAGATTGATCTGAACCACAAGGGTGAACTGGGGCCAGAGGTGGTGGCACACACCTTTAATCTCAACACTTGGAATTAAAGTCAGAGGCAGGCAGATCACTGTGAGAATTAGCCCAGCCTGGTCTACATAGCAAATTCCAGGCCAAGTGAGGCTACAGGAAGACCTTATCTCACCCCCCCCCAAAAAAACAAACAATAACAAAAAAGATGAACTGTACTCATGTACTTATTTCTGCCAGCATCTGCCTTTACCTACATTCTCCTCATACTTTTAATCTCACTAGGCATGACAGCATATGCCAGTAATCATAGTCAATATGAGGCCTGCGTGGACTACATACTGAGTTCAAGACCAGCAAAGGAGCCAATATTGAAAGATGGAATGTTGAGAAACAGGATATTAAAGATGGACCTGCTTACGTTCCACAGGTGGGAAGATAGCCCTCCCCCCCCAAAATATTCCCCAAGGACTCTCAACCAATTCTCCTGAGAAAGAACTGTACAAAGCTGGGGTGTTTGTGTTTATCTAAATCTAAGCCTTCCTGTCATTACTGTAGACTATGCTTGTATCCCCAAAATATACAGAAGGGCTCTGCCTGCCTTCCCCAACCCTACCCACTGTGGTACTAGCTTCCTCTCCTGATGAATGTCACCTTTGACTTGTTCCTACAAACTTAATTGTGCCCAACCTGGGGACTTATAGGCCCTCAAAGTATCAACTAGCATTCTCTAAGCAAGGCAGCACAACTTGAGCATTCTCTCCCATTAAGCTCCTCCTGTTCGATGCACATCCTGTCACGATTCTCTCTTCCTTTCATGCTCCATCTCCTGCTACTCCACATATAGGAAAGGCAAGAACATCTGCTGGTTCAGTCTTCCCTGTTATCCTAGCCCCTCTTCACATTAGGTAATTTCAGCATTTATGTGAAATATCCACTGAAAGCAGTGACATTCTTGACTCTGATGTCATTCTTTCCTCTTGTCTTTATAAACATCTCCTTTCTGGTATAATTTACATTATTCGGTGTTCTCCTTCTTGACCCAATCAGCTCAATATTTTCTGTTGACTTTCAGTAGCTGATTACGCCTCTTACTTTAATAATAAAATGGAGGCCATTCACCATGAATCTCTTGTCTTTATAAACATCTCCTTTCTGGTATAATTTACATTATTCGGTGTTCTCCTTCTTGACCCAATCAGCTCAATATTTTCTGTTGACTTTCAGTAGCTGATTACGCCTCTTACTTTAACACACACGCTTAAATTTCTTCACCTATTTTTATTTTCTCTTTTGGTCCCACAGGATGAGGTTTTCAGGGCAAACTATAACTAACACTCTCCTTTTTCCTTCCTCCTCTCCAATTAAAATTTCCTAATAAAATTAGTCCATCATCCATTCATGTCTTTCTTCCATGTACCACGAATCCAGTCATAACCTGGCTTTCATCTGCATCACATTACAGAAACTGTTTCTCCTGAGTTGTCAATGAAATCTTAATTTCCTCCTTACTACATCATTTTTTTTTAAATCCAGCCACTGTGATTTCGAATCCTTTTGTTGCACATTGTATTATTGGCTACGTCCTTTGCTTTAAGCCCCACTGCACTTTTCTCCTCCTTGTCCTCTTCCTTCAGGTGATAACTCCTCTCTGTCTTCACAGTAGGGTCTGCTTTGTACTTCTAATGCTTTACAGTTAATCTTCTGGGTATTATTCATGGCCCATGCTGTTCTTACTCTCCATGTTCATCCCAGGAACTCTGCTCTTAAGTTTTTGAGCACTATCACCATTTGAATGGCGCTCAAAATATATGTTTATCCAGTTCTACATTTCCTCCAAAGATAAAGAAATGTATTCCTCTACTAGGTGGCCACTTTGACTTCATTTACCCACAGACATCTTGGAATCAATGTGTCTACCTAAGCACAAAAGAAATCAGATGTGAATTTCAATGTGACTGAAATTGTAGCTTACCTGGCATTTCATGAGTAAATTTTCCAGAAGGTTGAGTTTTGGGTTGTATACATAAGAGTAAAGGTTCTTCCTTGAATGACCCATTCTGGAAAACCAGGGCAAAGGTTAGGGCACTATTCTCTGAGTCCATGAAGAATATCTCTTTTTAGGAGTCAGAACCTCTTG